GCCGTGACGTCACGAACCACCACTACAAACCACACCAGGGACCAACTACGGGTAACAGCAAATGTCCACGAGAGCGAGGAGACGGTAAGGAACCGAAACCGTAGAGCCAAGTTCGCTTCTCGTGTCCCTGCCAGGCGCCCAAGGCACACGCCACCCAACAAAGCAGCTCGCCGGGTGCGGTCTGCTCGCCATTCACAGTGGACACAATGTCAGCGGTACCAGGTAGTTTTCTCGGACGAATCCAGATTCAACTTGCTGCACCCAGACAGGCGAGCCCACGTCTGGAGGCGCCGAGGAGAGCTGTTCCACCCTGAGTGTATCCAGCAGGTGGCACCCTACGGTGGAGGGTCCGTTCTGGTGTGGGGAGGCTTCCCCTGTACCATATACAGGGCAATTTGACCGCGGCAAGGTACAGAGAGGAAATCTTGCGTCCACTTGAGGTTCCTTTCCTTCAGCAGATTGGACCTCAGGCTGTACTGCAGGACGACAACGCCATGCCACATCGCGCACGCATCGTGGGGGACTTCCTGCAGCTGTCACCCGCATGGACTGACCAGCTTATAGTTATAGTCCTGATTTGAACCCAATAGAGAACATTTGGGATCATATTGACCGGTGGATAAGGGACAGCCACCCTCCTGCACAAAACCTTCAACAACTCTTAGGCTGCCTCGTCCAGGAGGGGCTGAACCTACCGCAACAAGTTCCCCGAAGGCATGTCCTGTCCATGCTTTGACGCTGTGCCGAGTGTTTGGTCAAACGGGGTGGCTGCACCCACTATTGGCAATGTTCATGAAGAACTATGGCTGTTCAGACTTTTGAAATCCGACCAGAGTGATTTAAACTCATTTTACATGAACTTCTCATTGTTGTTGAAATCTGAAATTGTACACACTTAATCAAGAGAGTCGAAAACACCTTTTTGGAAAAAATGGATAAAATCGGTTACACTGTTCATCAGTTATCTTTCTTTGAATTTTTGTTTCTTGACTTTTTTGTGCGAGTTTAGTACGTACATCCGGGGTGTAATTTGTCTGGGGAGCCGCTTTGGGTCACCGTGATGGCATTCGCAAAAGACGCTTTTCACATATTTGTGTGTGTGTGTGTGTGTGTGTGCGCATGTGTGTGTGTGTGTGTGTGTGTTTGTGTGTGTTTGTGTGTGTTTGTGTGTGTTTGAGAGAGAGAGAGAGAGAGAGAGAGAGTGTGTGTGTGTGTGTGTGTGTGTGTGTGTGTGTGTGTGTGTGTGTGTGTGTGTGTGTTTGTGTGGCGGTGGGGGATGGGGTGAATCGAAATTTGTTTTCACTGAAAGCATTTTCCCATCATCAATGCTTTTGCGCTCAGAGATCGGGAGAAAAGCAAAGCGGTAAAGTACGAGTTTATTGTTCTTCGATATACCAACTGTGCATAGCTTTGCATTGTGGAAAAAACACCTAAAACGTTTTCGCACTTGCGGCGAAAGAGAAGACATACCAATATAAAATGCACTTGTGTAGGGTTTGTTAAAGATGAATGTACTGTACAAAAACATTTCGATAGAGGATTTCAATGTCAGTGTATTTCCAGCTCTGTGCAAAGATAACAAAATAGTTCAGAAAACAAAACGCGTACATAAGTTTGAAATTGGGGATTTGTTTCAAACACAGGTTCATTAAGTACAGATCAATTTTGATCAGAGTAAATTCATGCAAAAGAGACAAATGAGCAAAATTCTGATTTTAAAAGAGTTGAGCTAATACGTTAAATTATGATTTGGACAAGAAAGAGAAAAATGAGCTAAATTCTGATTTTAGAATAGTGGAGCTCGTAAGTTAGATTATGGTTTGGATAAGTTAAGCTCACAAGCTTGCTGGGTGTTTAAAGAAAGACACACTACTAAAGATTCATCTTCCATTCCTACAAACAAAATATATAAATACAAGGAACGGGGTTTAAATTAGATATTTCAAACCAAAGGCCCTAGCCTCATGTACGAGGTGTTAAATAATCGATAAGCAATACAAACAAAGCATTATATTCAAATTATTTAGTATCTACATAGCCACCCTAAGATCACCTTATATACTACTTACATAGCGTTAAGATGGGCATACAATTTAAAAAGTTAATTTGTCTTGTAACTGCTCACAAAGATACACGAATTTGCAAAGACCAATAAGTTCACCTAGTAAAAGTTGATTCGTTTTCGTTTTCTTGTGTTTATTGGTTGTTCGTTAGTTAGTTAGCTTGTTTGTTTGGAGTTATTATTTTTAGTTACTGAGTGATTATAATAATATGCAACTATGCAGCTTGTGATGTGATGCATTTTCATTCTATTTGTTTCAATTTCCCGAGTATGGACTTCACCAGTCTCTGTTGTAATGGCCAAGTTGTTTGTCATCCATGGAGAGCGAGTTACGTCGGTAGCCAAATCAGAAGCGGATAAAATATGTGGCAGGACCAATCACGCGATTGCTCAAGCAACTACGAAATTGCTCAAGAAAAAGAAGAAGAAGAAGAAAAAGAAGAAGAAGAAGAAGAGGAAGAAGAAGAAGAAGAAGAAGAAGAAGAAGAA